CGATCAATAACGTACTTCTTCGGATACGAATAAGATCAAAGTTGACACCAAATAAGAGCTGCAACGCGGCTCACTTCCGCGGAAGTAAATTCCCTCGACCAATAATGTGTTCTTTTGGGACAAACAAATAAGGTCAAGGTTGAGTCTTTTTCGGACTACTCCTTCGGCTAAGAGTGCCTTCTATCGCGGAACGCGCCGAGACCAGAGTCGATACCCTATCCAACTTTTCTGGAAGTCCGGACCATCTAGCCAGAACCGCATTCCCTCGGGATGCGCGGCAAAGCTCCGATGAGTCCCTAAGTCTCATATTATGATTTAGAACTTAGCTTCGTCCAGACCAGTACCGTACCCCTCGCGGTACATGGCGAGGTCGCCGCATCAAATCGCCTCATAAACAGGATAAGATCTAGTGAACTGGATAACCATGCTCGTTTTACAGGGAATCGGCGAAGGTTCGACTCCCCGACTCGTCCATGGATCAGCCGAGAAGTCGGGGGAACTGTTGGGACCCATTTTACCGGGTCTAAGAATAACTCGCCACGTAGGCCTAGGCTATATCGAATGCTGACACACGTCAGGCTAGCTCGGCCAACCTACTCTCGCATACTGTACCGGGGCAGTTGGCAGGCTTCCCCTAACACGCCAGAATCATTACTCCCACCTGCTCCCCGGATGCGCGGCTTGGAAGGGACATAACGAGAGAATGGCGAGTATAAATGAAAGAGGAGGAGGACGATCGGAGAGGACTACTTTCCGACATCTAAGATAACATTTCCGGCCATGCAGTAGGATCACGGGCGGATTCCATGTCCCTCCCGAGTGAATGCCTACCAGGTTAAGCTGTCCCTAACTTGGAACCTCGCCTTTATACCCACTACATTCCCCTTTTCACCAAGTAAAAATCCCTCTTGAAACACTCTAAACCAGACAGGAGCCTCGATCTTCGGACGAGTCCCCTCACGACTAACCCAGAGAAAACTCCCCCCTCCCCCCCCCCCCCCCCCCCCTCTGAGTACCTGTTTCCGGTAGGACGCTCAATGACTTGGGCGTCGGAGAACCTTCGGGAGGAAAACCCCCTTCCGCCCGCCCCCCGCCCCCCCCCCCTCTCTTAAGGCTCGCTTGACGTTTGTTAAAGTGCTTGCAGGATCGAATACGGCGCATGCCCCGCCACCTCGAGACAGGGAGCTTCCGCCCCAGAACGACGATTCGCCACCCTTCCCCCCAGAGAACGGAACTCGGAGACCCGGTTCCACCCCCAAAAAATCATGACCCCCCACGTGGCATCCCGAAATTTGCTCCGGAACAGATACTTATAATTTATTTTTCTCTCTGTTTATTTTTTTGTTTCAGTTATAATTTCGAATTTTTGCTATGTAATGAGAATTCATTCACATATGCTATAAACTTTTTTCTTATTTAAAAATAAAATTTATTTAGTTTTAACTCAACCAATCAAAAAAAAATTTTTTTTTAGGAAATTTGCTATGTCACATTTATGAGGTGGCATTGTTTTGCACTAACTTTTCTTTAGGTGTTGACACATAAGATTTTTTTAGTAAATATGCTTTTCAAATAATAGTTAGGGTAAGTTAAAATTTAACCGGTAGTTAGCATACATAAATGGAGAATTAGTAGTGATAAAATTCTTTTGCCATCTTTAGCACCTTGAATAGTGATAACAATGACATCCTTGGAAAATGTAGTGACAGTTGATACCGTACTTTGAGAGGCTCATCTGGTAGTCAGCAGAATAGTAGATCCATCTTGGGTTGAACGTAATGGAGAAAGTCTGCCTGGCATTGTTGAGGCGAAATGCGTGTGTTTGAAAGTCTTCGTAAGCTTTGTTGTCATGTATATTGAAGTCTGGGCAGATTGCTCTTTTGTAGTCGTTGTGGTGAATGAGTGTGGGTAGCACATGAAGTTTGTTGGATTTGATGTTGATTTGAACAGATCGTTGGAAGAAGTATATAGTGTGAGGGTTGAAGAACGGACTGAGGCTTCTCTGGCCTCTTAGTTGCTTGAATGGTAAGCTTGTTTCTTTTGCTGATATTCTTAGTTTTCCGTTCCAGATGTTGAAAGATGCAAACCACGTTAGGAAAGTCGAGAGACAATCCTTCTGACCTTGCTGGGCATTGATGTATTGATATTACCAACCTATGTCGAATGTGATGCCAATGGTGTAGACCGAGTATAGATATCATAGGAAGCACAGAACTTCTTCAGGCATGTTCGAATTTTCGATTCTGTAGAGGTGAGTGAACTGATAGTCCGGGTGAATCCCCATTGGTGCGATGTAGTGACAGTTGATACCATGTTTGAGAGGATGATTGACTGATAATGGAAGATTTTATGTTGAAGATGTTTGTGTAGAGAGTTTCTATTGATTAGCTGATGGGTGTCTTCAGGCATGTTGGCTTCGAAGTCGTAGTAATTCTTTGATGATGTAGATGAACTCGCCATTAGATGAATCTCCTTTGGTGGGTTTCTGCTTTGCATGTCGGCAAGCCTATTTTTCTTGCCCTTTAAATAGAAGGATTCGAAGTCATATTTTGAAAACCATTCGCTCCATCATTATAGCTGCTGGTGTGGGACAATATTTTGCTTGAATTGTAGCATCTTTGGGAATGAGGACATATCCATTTCGATGCGAAATTTATGTCCAATCAGATGGAACTCGAACTTCTCGATCGCCATCTTGACCGCTAAGATTTCTTTAAACGTGGAGTGATATTGCATCTCTGCGTCTTTAAAGTATCCGCTTTTATATCCACAGATTTGACGTTTTCCATTTATCTCTTCGAACTGTATGACTCCCCAATATTTGTCACTCGCATCACTCTGTAGAATACATTTCCCCGAGGAAGGAATCTTTAAAGGTGGTAGCTTATGTATCTCTATCTTTAGCCTTTTGACTGCTTCTGTTTGTCGTGTTGCCCATTGTGGTGGATTCTTCGTCAGCATCTTTTGGAGTGGTCTTTTCAACTGCAAAAGTTATGAGATAAAGTCACTTACATAATTGATTACCCCAAAGAATTGCTGAACTTGTCGTCTTGTGAGATTTTCGTCTGGAAAATCAAGAAGAGCTGTAGCTAGATGAGGCTGAGGCGTGATCTGTCTGTTGTTAATCTTCATTCCAAGAAAGTCGATGTTGGGCTGGGCTATAATCATCTTTCGGGCCGAGAGCATAATTCCGAATTCCTTGACAATGCTTTGAAATTTTCTGAGAGTCTGAATATGCTCCGTTGTACTTGACGAAAAAAGAGAATGTCGTCGATGTAAATTAGAGCTGTGTCGATTAGTGGCTTGAATATCCTCGGTGCTGTCTTTAATCCAAAAGGCAGAACACTCTACTGAAGATGGCGATTTGGCAGACAGAATGCTGTCTTGTACCTCTCTTCTGGATGAACTCCAAGTTTCCAAAACCCTGATTTAAGGTTGAACTTCAAAAATATTGTTGCTCCTTGTAGATGATGTAGAAGGGCCTTTTTGTTTGGCAGAAGGAACTTAATATTTTGAAGATATTGGTTCAAGGGCTTGTAATCAATAACTATCATGAGCTTCCCACTCGCTTGTTCTGCTATGTTGTTGACGTAAATTGCTTTGCATGCCCACAGTGAATTTGTGGCTGAGACTATTCCTTGATTGACCAGTTGGTCACACTCTTCGTTTGCCTGTTGCAGTAAGGTAGGTGGCATTCCTTCATGACTCGCCTTTGTTGGAGTGGTGTGAACATCTTCTTTGAAAGGTAATGATACAAAGAACTCCAAATTTAGCCACAATGGATTTTTTCTCTTCTGAAGGAAATCTGTATGAGAATCTGCACAAGAGATTATCGTGATTTCTTCTTTGATCTTGTCGAACTCGGGAGGTGCTGCTTCTTCAAGTGAAAATATGCGAGGTATTATCGTGAAGGCTTTGTAGAAAGACTTCCATTTCATTCCTGGTGGTTCGAGTGAGATATCGAACCTCTTCTTTAACGCATAGCATGTATCCCATCCCATGATAAGATCTTTGCCCGGCGCAGAAGATCCTAGAACTTATGTTGTAACTTGACATCCTGGGAAGATTTCTATGGTTATTGGTTGGGCTTGAGCTTAACAGATAGCGAGCCAGCGTTTGCGACTCAGAATTCTTATTGGTGCGGCAGCCACATAGAAGACAGAAGAACTTTGGGATTCATTATAGATGAATGGGCGCCTATGTCTATAAATACGATAGCATGAACTGGTTCTTCTTTTCTCTATGGGTCAAAGATCGTGACGGGCAAGTGTGGCGGTTGAACCTCATCATGCCGTGGAATTTCAGTGATTTTAAAGCAACAATCTTCTTTTTCTTCTTCAGATGAAACTTCGGAATCTGAGTATCCACAAATAGCATCATTGTCGTCACTATCGTATAATAGAACAGACTCTAGGTCGTGATTGTCGAAGTCGATATCTGGTGCAATACTGGATATCGAGTTAATGAGATATTGTTTCTTCTTCTTTGACTTATTTGGATATTTTTTTGCGAAATGTCCTTCTTTACGGCATAGAAAGCGTCTCATTGTCTTTTCAAAGCTTCATTTTTTTCTGAAGAAACGTTTACGTCTGAACTTGTTAAAGCGTCCTTGAAACAGTTTTCTAAATTTTCGAGATTTGCTTTGAAGTTTATATGAACAAGTCTTTTTGGATTTAGAACACTTGATTGATAGGTCTGGTCTGGCACATATTTTGGACAGTTGCTTTGATTTGTCCATGAATTCCATCCAGAATTTTTTTTGCTTGCGAAGCTTGTCGAGTGTTCGGATATCTCTTCGATTGTTTGTCTTTGTACACTGTTTTTGGTTGGTAGTTAAGATGAGTAAACTGGATGTATGTATGGGAAATTTACTTCTCAATGGAGGAAATATATACCTCGTGTATATAAATTTATTTTTATCTGCAGTTTAGATATTTCTCAACCAAATTGTATGTTTTCGTCTTGTATAGCAGAAAATAATGAGAAACAACATCAGAATTCGTTCTTGTCTATTAATCTGTTGCAACCACCCCACTAGAAAGAATGATGAATATTTACTTCCTAACATTTGGCACAAATTGTCATTCACCTCCGAACAACACTTTTTTACTGCGTACCAACGATGATTATAATATATAAATGTGGATCCAAAGATGGTTATTACCAAATAAAAATCCAAATTCATACAGCTTATAGCTTTGGAGACAGAGATAATAATAAATACTAAAAGCTTATATCAATGCTTGCAACTGTAACAATAATGAGAAGTGTCCTTCGATGGAGTTCCACAGTTGTAGCAAAAAGCCAACCCACACCTGCAAAATTGTGGAAGATCAGAACTTTGATTAAGGTTTTTTTATTACAGACAAGAACAAGAAGTTACCTGCACTTCATGTATAAACAACCCTGAGATTTTTCAATATAGAATTTGCAAGAAGGACATCTTCTCCACTTGTGATTCTCTGCCATTTTCTTCAACAAAATATCATCTCTTTCTCTCTCGTTCTCCCCAAGCATCTGAAACTCCTCGCAAGTTATCTCGGGATGCCACTTCGTCCCGCACCTTACGCACACCATTCTATTGCAGTGAGGACATTCTGATTCCTTCATCTTCTCATCTTCACACTCAAAGAAAACAAGAGCAGAGCAATCTTTGTACGGACAGTAGAATCTGTTTGAACGCATCATAACCGCCTCGCAGAGAGCGTCTCCCCACCGATCAAAGACCTCTCGTGGCAAAATCAGACGGCATTGATCTGGCTCGAGCCGCCCATAGCAACCAGTGACAGGGCAATCGATGGAAAGCAAATTGTCTTGTAATTTAGCAGCGACGTATTTTGACACGCAATCGTTGCAGTATGAGTGAGAACATCCATTGATTGGGAAGGATTCAATTATTGGTTTGGATTCAACACAAATCTCACAGTAGAAGGTCAAAGGCCGCAAGGGCTTACTCTTTGAGGACTGACCCTTTTCTAGGATCGGAGGGAAACAGAGGATTCTTAGATCGTCGTCGTCTTCTTCGCCGTTGTTGTATTGGTCGAGATCGATGAAGATTGGGGGTTCAGATTTATTTCTGAGGCGACGATGCTGGTCGTAATTCTCGACGGAGATGGCGTCGTGTTTGGTGGAACCACGGGAGGAGAGAGTGGTGGAGAAGATGAAACAGTCTGAGCTATCGCCGTCTTCGTCTACGTCTCCGGGAAGATCATTGAGATCGAACATCGCTGCATTGACGGATTGTGCTGCCATTTCGTGATGATAAAAATGGAATCTCTGATTAGGGTTTAAGACCTTTCTCGATTCTCTTATCTGTTCGATTTGTTTGTAATGCGTCTTTAAAGCAGACCTAAATTAAAGTAAAGTACATTAGTATTTTAGGGGAAAAGGTATGAGCATTGCATGAATTTGTGATATTTTAATGAAATTTATGATATTTTAACGATTTTAATTTTATTATATATTTTATTATATTTGTTAGTAAAATTTTGTCGATAAATATTAATATTTAGATTCTGAATACTATATGTTAGAGATGAGATTCGTACCGTCTCTAACAAGCCCGATATAAATTATAGTCGGCCCATCTAACAATTCCCAGGTCGGCAATATAAAATGAAAACTTCCATTTATCAAGCGATCCGGAGAAAAAGGAAACTTCTTGACGACGAGAGTTTCCTATTCCGAACAGGATGAAGACCGACCTGATCGGGTATAAATATAGGAAGTTCTCGACTTCTCAATGGATCCAAAAAAATCATTAATCCAGATCTAGAGCAAACTAAGCAATCAGATTGTTCTAGCTTTTTGGTTAACTTTCCTTAAGAGTTTTAGGTCGGCGTTCTTATTCCGACGACCTAAACACCGTTGTATTCAATCAAGCTCCGGCTTCTTCTAATAAAAGATCTCCTTAAAACCTTCCAAACCCTAGTTCTTTCATAGCTCGAATTTGGGTTTTTACAGTTGGCGCCGTCTGAGGGGAATAAAAGAGCAATCTTTGTCTTAGAAGGAAGTTCGAAGATGGTTGAAACACCGGTCAACACTACCGACCTCACCGGAGCCTCCGATCCGACGAGAAACACCCAGGATCTGGTCGTCGACCCAGCCACCAGACTTCCGATGGGCCACCAGACCGATCAGGACAACACAACTACCACGCGGAACGTCGAGACAGATCAGGTCGGTCAGACAGGTGGCTCAAACACGACCAGCCTACCACAGCCACCTCCCATCGACATGGCCACCATCATCAGGTCGGTCGCAGAGCAGCTACAGCAAGGGATGGATGCTCGCTTCGAATCTCTCCGTGCCGAGCAGATAGCCTACAGAGAGGACCTAGATCGGCTTCTCAACTCTAGAGTTCATACTCAAGAGCAGGCCGATCTGATCACCCCTCCCCGTCCTCTGATCCGCAACACAGACACGACCAGGCTAGTGAACAACCTGTTCGGCACGACACCGACAGAGGACCTGCAGAGAGCACATGCAGAGGGCTCGAACGCTCGTTCATCGCGCAATACCGCAGGTACCGACCCGACGACAACCTCGGAGCTCGATCTTCTCCACCAACGCCTTGACGATATTCACAGCAAGATCCACAAGGCAACAACCTCATCACCAGAATTGGACAAGATCCTCCAGGAGACCCAGCAGACCCCGTTCACATCGGCCATCACCAGCGCTCCTCTCAAGGACTTAGGCCGGATGAAGCTACCTCCAAGCTACACCGGTACAACAGACCCGAAGCGACATCTGACCGCGTTCAACGCCGTCATGGGACGTGCTCGCTTCACCGATGAGGAACGGGAAGCATGCATCTGTCAGTACTTCGTGGAGACACTCTCCGGAAGCGCCCTCACCTGGTTCTCACAGCTTCCCAAGAACTCCATCGACAGCTTCAAGGAGCTCACAGCTCGGTTCCTGAAGCATTATTTGATTTACATAGACACGGAGTCCACAGCGCTCGATCTATGGGCATGCGTCCAGGGCGATACGGAACCACTGCGCAATTTTATCGATCGATTCCGATCGATCGTCTCCCAGTGCAGTCTGTCGGATGAACTATGTTTTAACATTCTTATCAAGAATTTGAAGGACGATTCATCGTTTTGTGAACGATTGAAGACAGGAAAAACTAAAACCCTCGAAGATGCTTTACACAAGGCATTCGGATACATCAGAGTCGAGGAGGATCGGGCAGCCAAGGCCAAGTTGGCCGATGAGAAATCCTCGCGCGACAAGAAAGGCAGATCATCGAGTCAGGAAAATTACAAAGAGCCCCGTCAGCACTACGACAAGGACGACAAGAATCGCAAGAGCATCAACGCAGTTGGACGACCAAAAAAGCCATAGAACGTGTGGAACCGTTCGAGCGATAGAGACCCTGACAGCAGGAAGCCGTGGTGCAAATACCATAGGGCGCACGGTCATCATACCGATGATTGCCGCATCCTCCCAGCCCTCTTGAGGAAGAGGTGGGAGGATGGCGAGATCACCCTTCCAGAACCCCGGAGTTCACGACGATCTAACGACGAGGACAGGCGACCCGATGACGATCGCAATAGAAAAGATACCACCGACCGCTCTTCTAAACGCGAGGGCAAGGAAGCAAAGCGTGACCGTGAAGACGATCACACACCTCCAAGCTCACCACGTCGGCGGATTAACATGATCATGAGAGGGCTCCTCTCGTGCACAGACTCGATAAATTCAATTAAACGGCACGAACGGAGGGCAGCCAATCCCCCGAAGGATGCACCACTACTATTCAAGGATGACCTACCAATCACATTCACGGAGCAGGACGCGCAGGACATCGACCGACCCCACAACGATCCACTCGTCATCTCACTACGACTCGGAGAGGACGACGTCTCCAAAGTGTTGATCGACACTGGTAGCTCGGTCGACCTCATCTTCATGGATACTCTGCGCAAGATGAGTATTCCCGAGCGGGACATAAAAATCGCACCATCACCACTCACAGGATTCGCTGGCGACTCAATTTCGACAATAGGAACTATAACGATGCCTGTCACCATCCGCGGAAAGTCCATTTCGGTCAAATTTGAGGTTATTGACCGACCTGCGATCTACAATGCTATCCTCGGAACACCATGGCTGAACGCCATGCGAGCCGTCCCTTCTCCTTACCACCAATGCATCAAGATGCCGATCAGGGGCCATGTCATCACCATCCGTGGCAATCAGACAGTGTCCTGACATTGTTACATCGACAACAAACGGGCCCGAAAGGCATCAACGTTCGTGATTGGCAGCAGTAGCGACTTCGACCCGCGGATCGTTCATCACGACGAGCAGCCGAAGAGCGATCTTATCGCCCAAGTCAACATCGATCCTGCCCACCCGGAATGTTGCATCGGTATCAGCACGGAACTATTGCCAAGCATGCAGGATGAGCTGATCAATTTCCTCCAAGAGAATGTCGCAACGTTTGCGTGGTCTATGGCCGACATGAAGGGTATTAGCCCCCGAATAACGAGCCACGAATTGAACGTCGACCCGACCTTCAAACCGATCAAACAAAAGCGACGAAAGTTGGGACCTGAGCGAGCACAAGCCGTCCACGACGAAGTAGATAAACTCCTGAAGGCCGGATCAATCGCCGAAGTAAAATATCCGGATTGGCTAGCAAACCCGGTGGTCGTCAAGAAGAAAAACGGCAAGTGGCGGGTCTGCGTGGATTTCACCGACCTTAACAAAGCTTGCCCGAAGGACAGTTTCCCCCTTCCTCGTATCGACCAGCTCGTCGAGGCTACAGCAGGCAACGAGCTTCTCTCCTTTATGGATGCATTCTCCGGATATAATCAGATTCTCATGAATCTGGACGACAGCGAGAAGACCGCATTCATCACAGATCGGAGCACCTACTGCTACAAGGTCATGCCGTTCGGTTTGAAAAACGCTGGAGCCACTTACCAAAGCCTGGTCAACAAAATGTTTGCCGACCAGCTTGGGAAGACAATGGAAGTATACATTGACGATATGCTCGTCAAATCAGCCAAAGCAGCCGATCATATAGTCCATCTGCGAGAATGCTTTCTGATACTGAACCAGTACGGCATGAAACTCAACCCCGCAAAATGCACCTTCGCAGTCACATCAGGCGAATTTCTAGGTTACTTGGTCACTCAGCGTGGCATCGAAGCCAATCCTAAGCAGATCTCCGCGATCTTGGAACTACCCTCGCCAACTAACACTCGCAAAGTTCAGCGCCTAACAGGAAGAATAGCCGCTCTAAACAGATTCATATCCCGATCTACAGACAAGTGTCTCCCCTTCTATCAACTCCTACGAGGGAACAAGCGATTCGAATGGGACGAGAAGTGTGAAGACGCATTCGTACAGCTCAAAACCTACCTCTCGACTCCACCGATCCTGGCTAAACCTGAGTACGGCGACACTCTGCTACTCTACGTTGCGGTCTCTAGCGCAGCAATCAGTGGAGTCTTAGTTCGAGAGGATCGTGGGGAGCAGAAGCCAATCTTCTACTTCAGCAAAACCTTGGATGGTGCTGAAGCTCGCTACCCGACCTTAGAAAAACTTGCTCTTGCTGTGGTCGTCGCTTCAAGGAAACTTCGACCTTATTTTCAATCTCATTCCATTGCCGTCATGACCAGCCAACCTCTTCGTTCGATCCTGCACAGCCCGACGCAGTCCGACCGTATGGCCAAGTGGGCAATCGAACTTTCCGAGTTCGATATCGAGTATCGAACCCGGACTTCCGCGAAATCACAAGTTTTGACAGATTTTTTGATCGAACTATCACCAGAGCTTTTAGGCGCCGACCCAGCAAATTCAGAAATATGGACGCTACACGTCGACGGAGCATCATCACGCTTTGGAGCTGGCATCGGCATTCTATTGGATCTCCCACTGGAGAACTTCTCGAGCAGTGCTTCTGTCTGGAGTTTAATGCATCCAACAACGAAGCCGAATACGAAGCGCTGATCGGCGGTCTCCGACTAGCCCGAGGAATGAACATTCAACACATCCGGACATTTAGCGATTCGCAGCTCATCGCTAAACAGTTCAGCGGAGAATACGACGCGAAGGACGATCGAATGGACACCTACCTGAAACTGGTAAAGCAGTTAGCAGCGGAGTTCACGACCTTTGAACTACATCAGATTGACCGATCTGCCAACACCAGTGCTGATGCTCTAGCTGCTATTGCATCAAAAAGAGATTCAACTCTTCGAAGAACTATTCCCGTTCAAGGAATATCCCAGCCCAGCATAGTCCCGCCCCAGGAAGTTCTTCAAATCACAGCCGACGAAGACGAAACCGTTCCTGCAGCAACCACTGACGACCAGCCAGCAGCAGACTGGCGAGTTGAGATACGACGCTTCTTGGAAACCGGCGA